ATATCGTGTTGCCACATGCATGAAATATTCAAACGGGCGAGCGAGCGCACTATCAGCTAAATATTTATGCACCGGCTGCGTGCCGAGTGTTTTAAAATCCGACCCGCACGGCCCACACATAAATCGCGTCCACTCTCAGCGATTAACATCGTTTTTTTTCTATTTCAAATTAAAAAGTTGCCTGGCAAACAACAAAAGGCTTTTTCCCTATTAATAAATGTATGCGTGCGGCAAAAATTAAACTGAAAAAGGTGATAATGGCGTTTATGGCATTTCGTTTTGGTCACGCCGTTGTGTAATTCCCCCCCAACAATAATTAAAATAGTAATTGCGTTGTAAATTGCTCTACGGTAATTAGTGCAAGTTCTATTATCAGATATTCTCGTTTGATCGTAGAGAAGTGAAGTACAGAGTGGATTTGTAATGCAATCGAGTCTCAAGAGTTTTTTCCCACCGAGTTGCGGACAGAAGTTCGCGCAACGCCAGAGCTGTGCATTTCCATAAAAGTTGAGAGCGAAACTTGGCGCCGAGTTTTTGCTGCTCACGACTTCATCAACTCCACCGACTTGCTCATGTAAATCTTTGCACGCAGCTTTTTTTCTTCTAAAAGGCACCCAAGTGGGACACATTCCCGTTCGTCGAAGTTGGTGTTGATGAGCATGTTGATCCTTTGGGAATTTGCAGACATTTACTGCTGCTTGTATATTGCTTCTCTCATTTATACAAAAATAAACAAATTGCAAACTTATGGTACAACAAACAAGCTCGGATTCATCTGATAAGATGTTTGTGGCCAACATGTATTGTATCACTTTAATATTATGATTTGGGTCTATTATCAAAGTCAAATTTTTGTGCTCCAATATTTGAGAAATTTTAAGGAAATGAATAAAAACGCACAGAAATATTTGTGATCATGAAATTTAAGCAAAATGAGATCACTAAATTTCTTTTTCTGAATATTTTTATTTGCACATATTTATTCTACGTTTCCCTCGTGAAAAGAAATATAAAACTTAAATTTCAAAATAGGAAAGTATTTATTATTTATTCTGCTCAAATTTGAGATAATTTATGTTCATCCAAATTATTTTAATCTTTTATAATAATAATCTTGTAGTTGATTGAACCAGTAATCTTTTCTAGAATACGATTTTTTAATAAAATAATAATTACTAGTTTCTGTATTTTATTTATGTATTATTTTCATTTGAATTAAGTATTAAAACATTTCATTTGGAAAAATAAGCTATATTTTTACAAAAGTTATAATTTAAAATTTTCATCTTACATAGAATTTTTCAAATTGAGCAAAATTTTTAGTAATCCTGGTGTTTTTTTGTTTTTTTTTCCCACGCTCCCTATAGAATAGAAACTGATTTTTCTTGCAAGGTTGCGTTTTCCCGTGATTTGGTGTGTGTGCGCGTCCTCCTGGTTGCAGCCGTAAATTCGCCAGTGCCACCTGTCAACTGGCGCGGCGTCGGCGGCACACAATCGAACTGGAATTTCTGCGCCACATCTCGGCCGCACGCTCGCTCGCCCCGCCAGCATATTTATGGCAGCAGGAAGAAAATAATTTCATGATTTAACGTGTTCCGAGTGCACTCTTCCATTAAAATAAGATTCAATGATTTATGGTGTGCGCGCGAAAAACTACCCCCTTCCGCGGGGCTGCGACCCAGAAACGCCGGATTGCTTTTCTACTCGCTCGGTTATATTCTCGGCCGAGTCGAGAGAGTCTAGTGCGCCGCTTGGCTAATTTCGTATGCAGATTGCGCGGTTTAGAAAAGAATTACTCTTTTATTTGGCGGCCGTTCAGAATTATAGGTCTCTCGTTTCTCGTCTAGCTCGCACACGGTCTCTTTAATACGCCATGACCTGCCTTTTGATAATCGCCTCCTAGCCGAGATTGCAAGTCATTTTAAATTTATTTTTAACTTTATTCTTTATACAACAATTATTAAACATAATTTTCGATTTTATTTTGTTTATCATTTTTTTAACATAAAATACATTTTTATTGCTTTATTTAAATTAACTAAAATAAAGTTAATTTTAACATTACATTACTACAAAGTTTTTATTTGAAATTTGTTTCAAACAGCTTTTTTATATATTTTGTTGCATATAAATTCAAAAAATTTTAAATTATCAGAAAAGCAAATATAATTGGATATAAATATAAACTTAAATATTAATCCGTCGCAATTTTTCTGGTGTGCTCCATATCTCCGTGCCTTCTTTACACAGAAAATTCTTATTCATATGCGTTATATAAAAATTTAAATTTGATAAAAAATTTATCTTCTATCCTTGACTACACTTACCTTACAATTAGAAACATTTTGCTGCCCAACTGGTTGATTATGTATTGTATGCTGATTGCTTTAAAAATAATGTCATTATAAAAATAAATGAAAAATAATAAATTGGGTGGTGCTTTTTGCACGGGAAAAAAGGCACAGGACAACAAGACTGTCTTGGCCTGGCCCTAATAATGTAAAAAAATATATGTATAAAAGAAATATATATTATTATTATTATTATTATTATTATATTTTATTACTTTTGTTGCCACTCCTAATAAAAATTAACCCAAGCTTGCAAAGTATCATATTTTACGTAATTTGATATAATATTCAATTCATTTTCCCGCTGTTTTATCCCACAAGAAAATTATTACACATCTACCTTTAAAATCTACACGGTAATTTATTTTCATTAACCCAAAAGAAAAAAAACTTTCACGTGTTTTCCAACAGGGAAAACACCATCAAATGCAAATATTTGCTGCCGAAACGGTGCGGTGTCCTGCCGGAACAAACAGACACAAGTGTAGCGTGGTCGGTGCGCGCAGTTTAATGGAGGCGCCACTCGAATGACACACACGAGAAATAAAATCTCCTTGGAGGAAACAAAGCAGCGTGCCGAGAGCGGCCCCTAAATGAATTTATGTGCGTCTCCCCTGCTCGTTATACACACGACAATGCTTTTATGCGAGAGCTGTGTGTCGTTATTAACGGCACGCAACGACCAAACTTGCAGCCGCGATGACCATTATTGTGATTATTGTTGCGTGGCGGCCCAAACAAGAAAAAAAGCGCCAACCCAAGTACAAAGTTTTCTCCTTTTGTGTGTGTTTGTTGCTTGACCAGTTGGTGTATTTTAAACCTACTTCTCAACTTCATATCAACAATGCTTTTTTTCTTGGTTTAATACTGCTTACCTGGAAAGAGGGAAAAGTTGTGTGTGTTTGTTAGACTTCAGAGTTTGGAAAGTTCAAAGTAATTTGAGCTCTGCCTTATTTAAAAGTATAAAAACTGACGTTCGCACCAATTTAGCTTTTTGTTCAATTCTCAGTATAAAAAAAATATTAACCAATGCCATGAACTCTATTATATTATAATATTTAAATGTTTCATTTGTAAAAATGGCATGGAAATAAGCAATAATCCTTGTCATTGATGAGTTGATGACTTCTAAAAAATAGTTGAAAAACTTTAGCAACCTTGCCAGTCTTGCCTAAAACATAATTTGTTAACTGCAAATAGTTTATGCTTAAATGAGTTGAAAATAAACCCTATGTTACGTTCAAATAATTTTCTTCATAAATCATAATAATTACATCTGTCTCTTCAAACACAAATAATAGAAGAGACATGTCGCAATATATTTGAAGAGTTCTATTCCACTTGAATCCATCTGCTCCACAACGAACTGGAAGGCAAACTGCGTAATTTCATATAACGCAGCGTAAAAGAGGCCGCAATCCGAACAAAACTCAATATCGCAGATGTGCCTTGTGCTTCAGCTGGGCTCTTGCATTTTGCAGAAATAGAGAAACGTTGCACTCATAACGTATCAGACTGTGTCATTGCACGCTCTGCTGCAACTGATGCACGCCGCGAATAAATCTGCAAAGTAAGCTATTGACGACGTACATCAAGTTGGCTCCATTGAGGGGAAAGAAAAAGCTGCAATCTCAACAGAGAACTCTTTTAAACTAATCAAATCAAATATTAAGTGGATGATGTGAGATGCAACGTTGAAAGTATGAATGAGAAAATAGTATCGGAAAACTTTTCATTGGTTTTTCTACCATTTCATATAATATCAAGTTAAAAATATTCTGAATAAGAGTGAATAAATTTTTCCCTGTGGTTTATAGGATTTTCAGGATACTTAAAGACCCACTCCAGTCATTTGTATTGCTCTTTATTCTAAGAGATTGCTAAATTTCGAGTGTATCTTGTGAAAACACTATTTGAAAATTCCAAACCGTTGCGTCTCAATAAAAAGAAAACCTAAATACGATTGATTCGCGCGAAAAACATGTGAGAATTGAGTAGCCAATCAGAACCATCAGTTTTGTACAAAAATTGCAGGATTTTGTCACATTGGCGCTGCGATCGCTGATTTTCCCTCGTGCCCAACGACGCTGTGCAGAAAACTTGGCAAAATCAGCGTTCGCAGCGCCAATGTGATCAAATCCTACAGTTTTTGTACAAAACTGATGGATCTGATTGGCTATTCAATTCTCACATGTTTTTCGCGCGAATCACTCGTATTTAGGTTTTCTTTTGATTGAGATGCAACGGTTTGGAATTTTCAAGTAGTGTTTTCACAAGATATACTCGAAATTTAGCAATCTTTTAGAATAAAGAGCAATACAAATGAACGGAGTGGGTCTTTAAGGATACCCGTAGAAGGCGTAGAAACGTGTAAAAACATTTAAGACTGTGCCATGATATTAAATAAAATTATCATCAGGTTTCCACAGTCAAGAATGCTATTGCAGCTAAAAAAAATTAAAAGCAAATCAATGGATATAAATGATCAAAATTTATAAAATAAATACCGATATCATAGAAATAATTTAAGCTAATTAGATAAACTATTCAAAGTATGAAAAATTAATCTTCCAATTCCATGAATTTCTGTTTGCTCCACTATTTAATCAATCAAAATCCTTCGCTGATCATGCTCTCTCTGTGTTCCAGATATTGACCGGCAACAGTGACACATCGACGATAGTTAGCCACTACCTCAATCCGCCAATCATTGCCAGTCAAATCAGAATCCTCCCACACAGCATCCATCAGCGAACGGTGTGCATGAGGGTGGAATTGCGAGGCTGTCAGTACGAGAGTGAGTACAGCTTCCACTTTTCCATTTACATATTTCCCAGCAGAATAACAACATGCATCATTAATTCGCAAATAGAAAAATAGAAAATTAATGTCGTCCTTCAAATAGAGAAATGCAATTACGGTCTTCAGATTTTTTTGTTTCCCCAGCTTTTCCGCGTATGCCAAAGAATAGCTTCAAAGAAAGTAATGTTCTGGGAAAAGGGAAAGGTAAAAAAAAAAAACTTGTGACTTCCTTCTTGGCTGTCTGAGATGATTGATATTGGCGATATATTGCCGACTCGAATCCACCTGTCCTTCAAGTGAAGAAGCTCCAAAAAGAGAGAGAGAGCGAGAACCAATATTGATGGCACTTTTTCCTCCTACTTCTCTCAAGAATATGCCTTGGCTCATTTTGTTAAAAGGTTCCTTTTAACAGTGTCATAAAGTTTAATTAACTTTCTGCTTCAGCACTGAATAAACTTGATTAGGCATGAGAAACATGAAATTCCCCAAAATTTCCAATTAAATCTTTGTGCTCTATTTGATTAATCAAATTAAAATGATGCTTTCGTCAAAGGTTAATTAATAAGAAATGAGAAGTATTAAAATATGAAAATCATAAAATTTAAAATTCAAAGTATGTGTGTGCAATTAGTTTTGGCTTAATATTGATAAGATTTTTACAAAAGTCTGAAAAAAAGAAACAAATTTCATCATTATTCTTATGCAATCGATAAATTCTTGAAATCAACTCAATTTTTTTAGTCATTATTATTCTGGACTCTCCAATTTATAAACTTTCTTTAAAAAAAAGTTGGTAGAATTTGGAAAAATATCCAGCCGATTCAAATCATATTTTCCTAATTTATTTCCTCTAAAATCAAGTTCTGCAACTCAAGCTAATGAGAACGCCTCCCGCAATATTCCGTTGCTTCTCCAGAGGGCTGTCACTTAAAATTAATTGTTTGCCAAGGCAGGCTTGGCTCACAAATAAATATAAATACGCACCGCCTCATACACCGAGAGTTTGGAGAGAAAGCGAGAGTTGATGTCAGCTTTGGGTGAAACTTGGTCTTCTCATTAGCGAGAGCGAGGAGTCGGTTGCGCTTTGATTCTCAGTCTGCCCCACCAATTCCATTCTTCGCATTTTTTTTCACCCTCTCATTATTCAAGCTTTCGTTTTGAGCTCGGCAGCAAAAGAAGAAAGACGTCGGCGCTCGCTTTGAGGCGGTGGTTAAAGGGCCACAATCATGAAATTATAAACAAACTGCTTCTCATTAAAGTTTCCCGGTGGCATGAACTTGAAACGGCGGGCGCAGTTGTGAATTCGCGGCGCGCACACACTTGACGTGCGCTCGCTAGGTCTAAATGCTTTCGGAAACAAGTAGGAATAACAACGTCTGCCGCCGCTCACCTTTGCGGTAAAAATTTCACTCCGAAATTTATGTGCGGTTCGCGCCGAGGATTTCACTTGCTGGCTTAAAGTCCGTGAAATGCTTCTTTTTTATTAATTAACTCGCCGCGGCTAAATTAAATTTGCGAGAGAGGACATGCAGAGCAAAACCGACTTGAGCCAGACCAAAAGAAGAAAGTTCTTGATGTGCTCCCTTGAGGGTTCTTTTAAGGTCAGAATTTGCATTAAATTTTTACTGCGCAGGTTTTCTACACCCAAAGGAGGGAATTTTTATTTCATGCTGAGGGAAGCCTTTTGGTAACTTTTACAAACTTTGAATAAACACTTTTAAATATACATCTTTTTGATCTGAAACCATAAAAAGGATTATTTTTATTGAAAGAATTATTAAAATAATAAAATTTTGCACTCAAAATAAGCAATTTGATAACTCAAGGATGAAAAATTATATAGTTTTTGCTTTGTGTAAATTAAAAGTAAAAATTTAGAAGTTTGTTTTCTAATTTGGTGATTTTTTGTATCAGTGAAGTTCAAAAACGACTTTTGTCCTCAACGGTAGAAATATTTCCTTTAAAATAAATTAATAAATGGCTCTACCAGCTTCATTTAAGGTCTGCAAACTTATTTCACGGGCAAGAAAAAATACAAAAATTGGCTAAATTGTAAATTGTAAAAATGTAAATTTTTTCAAGTCAACGCTGAAAAAGCAATTCATTGAGAAATATTAATGTTGTCTTTCTCTCTTATTTTAAATTTTTATTTTGTCATTAATATGGATGAGTTCATGTATGGGGCATAGTTGCCCTCAGTTTTGAACCCAATAAACAAATTTCTGAAACTAAATTGAAAAACGACTTTTATAAAATAAAAAAAAAAAATATATAATAATAAATACATAAAATGAAATCATTAAATTTACAAAATTCATTTTCCCACCTATTTGTGTTTATTATCGGGGTTGAAATAAAATTGAATCCACTTTGATGTTTTTAAAAAATTTACTTCACATCAAAAATGTGTCCAATACAGAAACCTTAATGCGACGCTGTGCACTTTGAAGTCTGAAAAAGAAATTTCGGCGGCGTTCAAAGAAGTTACAAACCGCATCAATCTTGATCCACTGCGTCTTTTGTAGATTAAAAAGAAAATATTCAGCGCAGTCAAGCGAAATAAATGACAATTGACTCAGAAGGCGGTGGCGTCTGTCGCTGAGTGAAAAGTCATTATTGGCGCTGGCATGATCAAAAACTATTTTTGCGCCCCTCGTCCACTATGTGCTGGTTAGGGCGCCGCACAAAAGCGGCTGCATCAATTATGGAGGCGCGCCCCATGATTAATTGTAGTGGCGGAGCAATTGAAATAAATTGCTTGCAACTGACCTTCTTTACAGTGACCAGCAAGAGTGGCCTTTTATGATTCATATAAATTTCCCCTGTGCACGTTTCTTGCGGTTTTGGTCGGCCGGCCGGCCGACGGATGGACGCACCCTGCGTGCTGGAATTAATTTCTCGAGACGCTCGGTTGTGGGATTAATTTTTCATTAGACTGCAAAGAAAATAATTAAGCAAGTTTTTAAATAGACCCTAGTCCGGCGGAGGTTTTTTTTATATATAATCTCTCGTTATGAAAGGAAACTTTGAAAATCCATTGTATGAAGAAAAGCAATTTATCGAAGGGTCTGAATTAATCCTTGGTAAAGGAGAAGCCCAAGCAATCTGGAGTGCTGCTTTATTAAGGTATGCAACCCGTTCAACGAACGTGCTGAACAAAAAGCCTACCTACGCCCTAGCGGCACTCGAAAGCCTCTTGCATTTGCAAGGACAAAAATAAGTGTATTGGTAATTGTGCGACGTTGCTTACGAGTGCTTCAACCCCCTCAAGTCGAGCCTTTATTTAATGGGGAAATATAAATTGGGTCGCTGCACGCACTTTATGCAGTGGTGTCTTTTGTCCGAAACATTGTGGCTGGAAATAATTTCTTTAGAATTCAAGTGGAATGAGCTTGTATTGTAAATATACGGGCTGTGCACTACGTTTCTATTTTGTAAACGGCATTTAGTTGTTTAGAATTGCTCGGTTTAATTCCAACGCAGTGCTTTTCATTATTATACAGTACAGCAGTGTATGATTCGTAACGAAATGTAGCCTATTTACCGAGGCGAAAATGATGCACTGAAAATGTAGTTGAATAGTTGCAGCTTTTTAAAATAAATATAACGATTCAAATTATAACATGTGATTTTCACACTACAAAAAAAATCAAAAGAATTTGATGGAATTTAACAGGCAGAGCAAATAAATTAAAATTGATGGTAATAAGACGCCTCTCAAGTAAAAATCGTGTGCCATTAAATACCCTTTCCGAAACCTTTCAATAGCTTTTAAGAAACCTTTATCACTTCATGTAGTTGAAATGGAAGCTGAAGCCATTCGCAAACCTTTCAGATGCCATTATTTTGAAAAATTAATGGCTTCGGAAAGGTTTTGAGGGAAGCCTTTACGAAACCTTTCCGATCGCTGTACCAAGCCCTTCCATAAGCTTTCATAGCGACGCTTTATTCTTTTGTAGCGACACCTTTCAGATCGCTTTCCGAAGCCTTTCAGGTGAACAGTGACGTCATTTATTTCATGACGTCACGGGGAATGAAACATTTAGAAATTCGTTTTTGGTGACTATTTATTGACAAAAAATAGAAAAAAATCACAATAATTTCAAATGGAACTCACTCATCATCTTGCCGTAAAATCATTTTTCCCAAGAGAGAACCAAATTGTCGCGCGTCTGTTTCTATGCCGAGCGGGCGCATCCTTTGCACTTGCAGCAACTGAAATCATAAAAGAGACGGAAACATTAATTTGAGTCAAATAAAAATCGTTTTTTAATCACATACCTGCTAGATATTTGTTCCACGCACTTTTGAAGCTAGAGCCTATAAGGGTTGGTACCTGGGCGCCGTACTTAGGAGGCTGCTGCTCATCTGAAAACAAATTAAACGCGTTGTATTACCCGCAGTGATCTTTTTTTAATTGCATTTTTTTTTAATTATTTTGTTCTGATTTTCTCCATTCAAACTTTAAATTACAAAAGAAAACTCACCTTAATATTTAACAGGCAATCGGCGTTTTCCTCAGCTGTGCATAAAGCGGGCGAATAGCAAATTTTGAAGATTTTTTCGGCAGCATCTCTTTTTTAACAAACCATACCGGCCAACCGCCGAGCGCGACTGAAGAGAAACTCGCATTCTCGCAAAGGGGATGAAATGTGGCAACCTGGGGACTATTGTGTGTGCCGTGCATTACCTGAACCACCTGAACTGCATAAGGAAGTATGCAGCAAAACACTTAACAATAGGCACAGCGGATCGGGTCGTCCAAAATATAAAGAAATAAGAGACGCTCGCTGCAGCCCAAAACACAAGTTTATCACGGTGCTGTCTAACCTCTCTTTTCTTACACCCCAAATTTTCTTTAATTAATTATGCAAATCTGGGAACTCTGATAAATTTTAAAATATCATAATTAAAATGAGTATAAAAATCTGCATCTATTGGTGGTAGTTAAAATAAAAATTAATTAATTTAAGGGTTTAAGGTCACTAGTGCAGG